CCCATCTGCGCCCCGCGCGCCGTCTGTAACCCCGCGCGCCGCCTGTAGCCCTGCGCGCCACCTGTAGCCCCGCGCGACGCCTGTAGCCAGGTTCTTAGCCTCCCGTCTTCTACTGGCCTCCCGTTACGGCCAGACTCTTCTCTTCCTGCTCCTTCTCCTTACATTCAGCATACAGACTCGCTTACAGGGCGTCGTGAGCCTGCGTCTCGTCCTGCCTCACATGTTCGCACTGGTCGCACTGGTCGTCGTGTTCCTCCTGTCCCCGGCACGCACACTATGGCACTTCGTCCTTCCTCTGTTCCACAGCGTGTTCCCCTGCCGTCTCCTCCTGCGTCCTCTCTTCCGCACGTTCCGGACCCTGAGTCTGACTTACCTCGTACTGCTAGCCCTACTGTCACCCGTCTCATGGCCACTGTTGTCACTGAGTCTTCTGCTGCGTCTGCCCTAGTTGCTGAGCTTGTCGACTTTTCTGCTCGCTTTCGTCTAGACTACGCCACCAGTCTTGTTGCTGACTCTGAGTCTGTCTGTCCTCCGTCCGTCGGGGGTGAGTGTGCTCTTGGCACGGACGTCCTTGAGGACAGGCAGGAGGACTTTGAGTGTTTTGCAGCTGCTGTACCTCATCTCGTGTCCATGCTGATTGCACCTGAGGGAGACCCGGATGCACCAGACATCCCGACCCCGCGCTCTTACACAGAGGCGATTGAGGGTCCCTAATCCTCTCAGTGGCAGTCAGCCATGGACGCAGAGATGGCATCTTGAAAGTCCACAGGCACCTACGTTGACGCTGTTCCCCCACCTGGGGCGAACATTGTCAGTGGCATGTGGATTTTCAGGGTGAAGTGGCCGCCGGGTTCTCCGCCTATCTTCAAGGCACGTTACGTTGCACGAGGCTTCAGTCAGAGACAGGGAGTTAACTTCTTCCAGACCTTCTCTCCTACCCCGAAGATGACCACTCTTTGGGTTCTGCTGCACGTCGCCGCTCAGCGTGACTACGAGCTTCACTCTCTTGACTTCAGCACTGCTTTCTTGCAGGGCAGCTTGCGCGAAGAGAACTGGCTGCGCCGCCCACCTGACTTCACTGGGTCGTTTCCTGCAGGTACCCAGTGGAGCCTTCGGCGGCCAGTCTACGGTCTCCGTTAGGCGCCTCGCGAGTGGCACGATACACTGGGGACGACGCTTGCGGCTCTTGTTTTGCTCCTTCGACTGCTGACCCGTCGCTGTTTCTGCGCACCGACACTTAGCTGCCGCCGTTTTACATCCTCGTGTACGTCGACGACTTGGTCTTTGCCACTGCTGACACTGAGGGACTCGCCCTTGTGAAGTCGGAGCTGCAGAAGAGACACACGTGCACAGACCTGGGAGAACTGCGCAGCTATCTTGGCTTGCAGATCACCCGGGACAGAGCACGACGCACCATTACCCTGACTGAGTCACACATGGTGCAGCAGGTCCTTCAGCGCTTCCGCTTCACGTACTCCTCGCCACAGTCCACTCCTTTGCCTACCGGTCACTCGTTCTCAGCTCTCCCTTCGGATGAGTTCGTAGAGCCGAGTGGCCCGTATCCAGAGCTTGTGGGCTACCTCATGTACCTGATGACCTGCACTCGACCTGTCCTTGCTTACCCTCTTAGCATCTTGGCACACTACGTTGCGCGCGGGAGACACCGACCAGAGCACTGGGAGGCCGCTAAGAGGGTGATGCGCTACTTGTGCAGTACATCGGGCATGGGGCTCGTGCTTGGAGGACGGGCTCGAGTTGTCCTCACTGGTCACGCAGACGCTTCTTGGGTCGACGACTTGGCTATGCAGCGGTCGTCACAGGGTTACACCTTCAGCCTTGGCTCCGGCTCTGTTTCTTGGCGGTCTACCCGCTCGTCTTCTGTTCTCAGTTCCAGTTGTGAGGCTGCGATATGCGCAGGGGCTATGGCTGCACAGGAGTTACGCTGGCTCACCTACCTGCTGACCGACTTGGGCGAGGCGTCTTGTTCTCCTCCAGTTCAGTACGTCGACAACAAGGCCATGATTGCCTTGTGTCAGGAGCACAGACTGGAGCACAGAACGAAGCAGATCGCTCTGCGTTACTTCCTTGCTCGAGAGTTGCAACAGCGTGGACAGCTTCGTCTTACTTACGTGGCCTCTCAGGCTAACACTGCTGATATCTTCACCAAGACACTTCAGCCGTGTGATCATCAGCGAATTTGTAATGTTCTAGGCCTTGTGCCTACTTGGCCTCTCTTGCTCACTTCTTGACTTTGTTTGTACTGTGATCTATATACGTGTACCCGCATGCTTACTCTTGCTAGATTTTGATCATTGTCTTGCTTGTTCTGCTTTATATAACTCTGTATGTGAACCGGCCTTGTGGCCATTTGCTTGTGCTCGGAGTGTGTGGTGACGTTGTGATCCATCCTGAGCTTGCTTTGCTTTTCTTGACTGGCCCTTTGACCCCTTGTTCTCCCCCACTTTGCCTATGGGGGTGTGTCAAACTATATCTGTGCTAGTTTTGTGTAAGCTATAGTGGGGTAGTCAATATGGGGTATAACCCAATGTTAGGGTTAGTACTTGTACCCACAATTAATTGAATACAGTTGTTGGAAATAAGAAGTCGCTAGAGCGCAGCGGAAGCTCTAGGAATTAACGACGTCCCTACGGCGGGGCTATTGGTCACTCAGAGGTAGCTCTCCTCGCTTGTAACGTGGTGCCAAAGCAGCGGCCGAGGGTAGGCCGGACACAAGCTTGAGAATTGTGTAATATGAGCAAGGCATTACATTCTGTTATATAGCAAACGCATAGGGCAAACAGTTACCAAGGCGCAACTGTATAACAGTTGCGATGCGTCGCTTGGGTTGCCTTGTTACAGTCGCGCTGGCGAGACTTTTCAGCTTCGGCAAGGGCGCGGTATCCTGCCGCGCCCCACAGGTCAGTTTCGCGTACTGTAGACGATGACTCCTGCTGTCGATTCGACTCTTGAGCTGCCACGCGGGTCGCAACCGCTGTGTTCGGTTGCGGCCCGTTGACTCGCCACCAGGTTCAAATCCCTCGCTGTGGCGAGCCCCTGTAAGCACACTTCGAACAGTGCACTTATAATAAAAGCATACAAACATATTCTCAACACTCCCCTCCATTGTTAGAAGTGTAGAAACGAGGAGGGCTGCAATCTTGCCGGGTTGAAGTTGTGAAGTCCTTGCCAGGGACTTTGCTGTAACTCCTTGAAATTCGTCTTGCTGAGTCGCCCAAAATGATGCGACGGTGCGTTGAAGATTTCCTCCACGTAGTGCTCCGTGGGAAGTGGCAGGTCGAACCTGCTCCAAGAGATGCTCCTGGTGATGATTCAGGTGGTGGGCCCATTTGTAGAAATTATCACAGGTTCCAAGGATTGGAACTCTTGCTCGTGATACCATGTTGGAAATAAGAAGTCGCTAGAGCGCAGCGGAAGCTCTAGGAATTAACGACGTCCCTACGGCGGGGCTATTGGTCACTCAGAGGTAGCTCTCCTGGCTTGTAACGTGGTGCCAAAGCAGCGGCCGAGGGTAGGCCGGACACAAGCTTGAGAATTGTGTAATATGAGCAAGGCATTACATTCTGTTATATAGCAAACGCATAGGGCAAACAGTTACCAAGGCGCAACTGTATAACAGTTGCGCTGCGTCGCTTGGGTTGCCTTGTTACAGTCGCGCTGGCGAGACTTTTCAGCTTCGGCAAGGGCGCGGTATCCTGCCGCGCCCCACAGGTCAGTTTCGCGTACTGTAGACGATGACTCCTGCTGTCGATTCGACTCTTGAGCTGCCACGCGGGTCGCAACCGCTGTGTTCGGTTGCGGCCCGTTGACTCGCCACCAGGTTCAAATCCCTCGCTGTGGCGAGCCCCTGTAAGCACACTTTGAACAGTGCACTTATAATAAAAGCATACAAACATATTCTCAACAACAGTCATTCCAGCTTCTCATTTTGACACACGCTCTTCGGTAGCTTGTGTGCCAGTTGCTCCAGTCGCCCGTGTGCCAGAAGCTTCAGCAGCCGCCTCCTACCTCCTCTTCTCTCATAGTCCCTCCTCCTCCTCACTTGCCCTCTCCTTCTGCTGCGTTCTGCAGGGTGTACCACTTCAGGGGGTGTTATGCACATGGCTATTCCTGCATGCACTTAGGGGGTGTGTCAGAATATATATCATATATATTTATGTATAAGTGCATAAAGCTATAGCTATAGCTATAGCTCTAGCTATAGTGTAGTTACTGTAGTTATTGTTACAAACTGTTGGTGGTGCACCTTTCCTTGCTTGTTTGTTCTCTATTTGTACCCTTTGCTCCATAGTGAAACCCTTCTCCTTGCTCCAATTCTCTCGATAGTCATGCCTAGCCTAAACCCTAGTATGGCTCCTAGTCTCTCCCTCTAGCTACTATTTTGACACCACTCAGCCCCTTCCTCTTTGTTTCGTGCAATAGAAGGTCATGGAGCTTGTCATAAAGGAGTTCGTGGAGTCTTGTTCCTGAGCTACGCGAACGATATTTACTCTAGAGCATGAAACTCGGATCCGCGGAGTAGTTGGAGAGGGTGGGGATGCAGGTGCGGGCGCACCAGGGTTTGTTATACCTTTTGGTGGTTGTAATTGTGCTGTTTTTTTTTTCCCTTGAGGAATTACACCATATTGAGTATGCTTAACTGTAGCATTTTAATAATTCCCACTGAAACCAGGCAATTTCCACAACCAGCGTGCCAGCAGAACCCGAGCATGGTTGGCATTTCCCATGACAATTTCGATGGCTTCCTCTTCAATGACTGCTCTCGATGTCCTTCAGAGCTGACCACAATGTACCGACCGACCTTGGGTTCTTTTCCTAGTAACCAACTTCCAGGCAGTTCATGAGGGAAAAGCCTAGTCGATCGTCTCGGTCTGATGCCAGTGCATACGGAAATGTCGAGTAGACTTAGCAATCTTTCTGGCAAGACGGACAAACAATCTTGAGCACTGATGCATACAGCTTCATTCTAGCAATTTCCAGCCATGGATGAGACAGCGTCGCTCTTCTTCCAGCTTACTCCGCAGCAATCTCTCCCGCCTCGGGTGAACGACGTTCCCGCAGCCGCCGATTGGTTGCGAAGCTTCGCCGGTCACAGCTGGCTGGCTTACGGCGCAGGTGGCTGCGTTGTAATCACAACCGCTCCGTGGCTCGTGCACGGCAGCGGCGCGCGAGAGGACAGCCTGCCACGTGGCGCCCGTTTCTATCACCAGGTCCTGGAACTCCCGCCGTCGCTCAATCCAGAATCTGCTGATGTGGATCTCGCGAACCGCTCATTCCCAATCTTGGCTGACCAGAGGAGACCAGAAGAGGAAGCTGCAAGAAAATTTCCGTGTGTGGAGGATAGGGATCAGGTAGCCGTTGTGACATGGGCAGCACCGGATAGCACCTTGGCGGGCGTTCTAGCTGCAGCTAAGGGAACATGCATTTACCTCTTTGCTCCGAGTTGCCAAGGTAATCAACACCTTGATTGCTAATTCTTTCACTTTTGCACGCAAATCATCTCCCCGTTATGGAGTCTCAGTTGGTTGATCCTGGTTCTTTCTCGAAATCATTGTTCTTAATAGAGTTCTAAACTACTCCCCTTACCTCTGTTCATCCCTTGTGCAGAGATCTCCTTCTTGTAGCTGCCTGCCGCATGTACCCAGTTCCCTTCTGGTGTCAATTCTCGTAACAAACAGTTTGAATGAACTGCAATCCTTCCACTGCACCTTCTGTTCGTCTCTGCGGATATCACTCTCTCATGGCGGCCTGCTCAGCTGATTCAGTTCCCTTCCAAGGCGGCAGATGTCCCTAAATCAATCTCCTCCCTCCTGCTCCTTTCTGTGCCTCACTATCTCGTCTCTGCAGATATCCCCCTCTCATGGCGACCCGCTCAGTTGATCCATCCAGTTCCCTTCCAAGGTCATCTCCCTCGGCTGGACTTACTGGGTTAGGAGGCAGTTTGAACATCCAAGACCCCTTTTCCCTTTGCCTTTGCTGTTCGTTTCTGCAGACATCCCCCTCTCATGGCGGCCTGCTCAGCTGATCCAGTTCCCCTCCAAGGTCATCTCCCTCGCCTGGACTGGTTCAGCAGACGGCCTTCTGATCAGCGGCGAATCGAATGTCGCCATGTGGCATCGTTCCAAGAAGAAGCAGCAGAACGCGCCCCTGCTGCAGCCGCTGACGTGTCTGTGGCAGGTGCAGACAAGTGTCGCGCAGGGACTGGCTGCGACCTCGCTGCATGCGGATGGGTTTGCTGCTACTGCTGATGTGGCAGTAGGAGAAGGAGAAGGAGGAGTTGGAGGAAGAGTTGGGACAGCGTGGCGGAAGGGTATGGCTAGGGTCTGGTATTACTGGGGAGACCAGTGCTCCACATCTGATGGTGGTGGTGATGGTGATGGCCATGGGGAGGTTGCAAGCAGACATCAATTGGTTAACGGGACGAGTGAGGGAGTTGTGGGTGTTTCAGGAAGAGATGACTCAGGAGCGGGTGTAGGGGATATGGAAGGCGATGACGATGGGGAGGGTGCGGAGGAGGATGGTGAGGATGATGAGGAGGAAGAAGAGGACGATGATGCGGTGTCTGTTGTTGATCTGCCACACCCCGCACCTGTGCTGGCAGTCCAGTGGAGGCCACAAGATACAGCCTCCAAGCCTTTGTCTTCTTCTGGGGTAGGTGCAACTAGTGCAGGTGGAGCTGGAACGGGTGGATCAGGTTCGGCGCCGTACCACCGTCCGATCCTGTTGACCTGCTCTGACGATGGCACAGTACGGCTCTGGATGGAGATTGACAGTGGCAGCAGTCGAGCCAAGGCTGGAGGCTCGGCAGGAGCAGCAGGTTCGGGGAGCCGGACCGGGAGCAGATTGAGCTCGCCGAAGCACCCTGGGAGCAGCAGGTACGGGAACCAGAACGAGAATCCGAACCTGGAGGCTGGGTTCGGTCAGAAGAGAAGGAAGGGGGCAGAGAGGCAATCATCTGAAGAGGGGAGATGGGCGCCCCCTCCTGCTTTCTTTGTCTGCGCTGTTGTTGATGGGAACATGACACTTGGAGGGAGATTGGGAATGGATATATCTGTGCTGTGGGCAAAAGAGGTGCGGGTGGGTGATGGGAGTAAGAGTGTGAGTGTGGGAGGAGGGGGAGGGGGAGCAGCAGGAGGAAAGGGGTCATTCGGGGTTGAGGTGATACAGGGAGGTGACGTGGCGCCCTGTGAGTGGCTGGTTGGCGTGGGGCCACGTGGGACTGTGGTTCTCTGGGCAGTGTTTTGCCTGGATGACACTTCACCTCCTCGCTGTCCGCGCGTGATGATGTGGCAGCAGGCAACTGGCGTTCTTCAGGATAAGGCTCTCAGCCACAGCAATCACACGCACCTTCAGAGTTACAGCAATCACACCCACCCTTCCAGCCCCACAACCCACCTCATATCAGCCATCGTGCAAAGAGTTACCGGCCAGTCCGGGAGCCCTCCCATGGCTGTCGAAATCGCAGAGAAGCTACCTGGAAGCTTCGTGCGCTGGTCCCGCCTGTGGCCGCCCGTGCTAGCGATCGGAGCCGGGGGGAAACTTGGGGGCAGGATTGGTGGCAGCGCGGCGGATGGGCATGGGGCAACAGGGGGGGTCGGCGGAGGGGCAGCACAGCATGGCAGTACGGGCTACAGCAGCCACAACAGCAGCAGCAGCAGTCACATGAGCAACAGCGGCGGCGGTGCCATTGCGAGCAGCAGGAGGGCAGCATGGGGATCAGTGAGCCAGCACGTGCATCTGGCAGGGCACAGAGGGGCGATCACAGAGGTAGCTGTCCACCCAGCTCCAGGCTTCCCTCTTGCTGCCACCTTAGATGCTCATGGTAACACTCTCCTGTGGGGCCCTCGCGCCCCTCCCTGGCTCCCCCTCCTCACGGAAACCCCGGAAGGTGCTTCTAACGAGTGGGTTCTGCTGGGCTCGCTTCCGCCAGCTGTCCCAGGCAGTGGGGGAGGTGGATATGAGAGGGGTTTTGCACGGCTGGCATGGGCGCCTGTTCTGCTGCCAGGTGGCGGCAGCGTATTGGCTGTTGCTGGCACTGGGAGTGTGGAGCTGTATCTGGTGAGGCGTATACGTGAGGAAAGGGATGGCGAGCATTCAGGGGAGGGCGAGCATCATGGGGGGGATGGGGGTCCGGGGGGGGGTTATGCTGGTGATGCAGAGGAGGAGCGTGTAGAGTGCAGCTGGCTGTGCTCTCTCACTCTCCTGAACGCATTCCCTGAAGCACCTGTAGAGGAAGCTGCAGGTGCTGCTACCACAGCTGCCGCTACAGCTGCTGCCACAGCTGGTCCGTTCCTGGGTGTTGCCTGCCTGCCTCACACGCCCCACTCTGCCACCCATTCTGCATCCTCAACTCCAACGAATTCAGCAGCTGCAGGTCCTGCCAGGCCAGGCAGAGGAGAGAGGAGGGGGATTCGAGTGGTGGGTGTGGGACAGGGCGGGCTGTGTGTGTGCGTGTGGACTGTGGAAATATGCGTTCAGAGGGGTGAGGCAAGGGCGAGAGTGCACACAGAGAAGGAGTCCGTGGGATTTAGGGCTATTACTGACGAGGGGAAAGCAGGGGAAGGCGAGGAAAGAGCGGAAGGAGTGGAGGGAGCAGCATGGGAAGAAAATGCTGTTGGCTGGCTGGTGGGTGTGTGTGGAGCCGAGGGAGGAGGGGAGGAAGGAAAAGGAGGGGAACGAGGGGAGGGAGAGGGCGGAGAGGGGGTGGCAGCTGTAACGACAAGCACACGTGTGATCAGGTTTCCCAGCAGCCGCCGGGTCACGTGCCTGCACTGCGCCCCTGTGAATGACTCCATATGGGCGTCTCCTCTTAAAGCAGGTGGTGCAAGTGGTGCTTTGCATCAGGGAGGAGGGAAACATGCCGCTTCTGATGGTACAGGGACAGCTGGTACTGCTGGTGCGTCTGGTTCTTCTGAACTGCAGGCATTGCAAGAGATGTTGAGTCGAAGGGGTTGGTTGGAGGAGGCTGGCGGTTTGCTTTCAGGGGCAGGAGCTGGTTCTGCAACTTCCGGGCAGTTTGAATCTGGGCAGTTTGAGTCTGGACAATTTGGATCTGGGCAGTTTGGTTCTGAGCAGTTTGGTTCTGGGCAGTTTGCTGCCCGTTTTGGGCTGCCCAAGGGGAAGCACGCAGAGGAGGAGGAGGAGGGTCTGCCTTATGAGTTTGCAGTCGGGTGCAGTGATGGTTGCATGCGATTCTGGAAGGAGACGGGAATTGAGGCTGCAGTAAGTTGTGAAGCAAACGATGCAGCAGCAGCACCAGCAGCAGTAGTAGCAGCAGCAGGAGCTGCAACAGGAGCAACAGGAGCAGCGGGAGCAGCAGGAGCAGCAGGAGCAGCGGGAGCAGCGGGAGCAGCAGGAGCAGCAGGAGCAGCGGGAGCAGACGCAGCAGCAGCAGTGGAAGAGAGCAGCAGCTCTGGAGCTTGGGAATGTGTTGGCTGCGTTAGAGTGTCCTCTGGTCCCGTTATAAGCACCAGCGCATGTCCGAGCGGAACCTTGTTCGCTTCAGTGGCAGGAAGAGGAGCAGACGCAACGGCAAACGAACCAGCAACCGAAGCAGTATCTGATACAGCGAACACCGAAACAGAGAGGGGGTTCCTGGGACAGCAAATCCCAGGAACAACTGTGTCGCTTTGGGAAATGCTTCCTGCTGCTATTCACGGCTGGTCATCCTTTCGACTGGAAGGAGAAATTCAAGTCTCCCTAACCCCACTAACCGCTTCAACAGCCGGGGCTGCTTCTGCCGAACCTGGCGCTCTGGAATGGTTGGGCGGACCCGAAGCAGTGCTCATGGCTTGGCACGATCCTGGCAACGGCCATTCTCTCCTTGCAGTCGCCGCCGCAGCTAGGGTTTGTGTCTTTACACGTGCCCGCACCCCTGCTCCTCTTCCCCTTGATCCCAATTCCACCGCCCCCCTAAGCTCCCCTAGTGCCTCTGCTGGTGGATTGGCTGGTACCGGGTTTGGCACTGGCAGCGGCACTGCTGGTTCTGGTCCGGGTCAGGATCGGGGAAGCGTGTACCAGGAATGGAATCGGTCTGGGGGAAGGATCCAGGAAGCTTCTACAGGGAGGCGTGATTCAGTGGAGGCGGTAAGGGCAGGGGGGTGGAAAGCCCCAGGGTGGGCGGGGTGGGTGGAGGTGGGGCGGGTGGAGCTGGGGGAGGTGGGATTCGTGCGGTGCTTGTCGTGGGCCCCACAAGGGGTGCTGCTGGTGGGGACGGGGCAGCAGCTGCTGGTGATCAGCCCTGTGATGCGAGCTGAGGCAGCTGTAGAAGCAGTCGGGGCAGCAGGGGAAGGTGCAGGGTCAGCAGGAGCTGGTGCAGCGGATGTGACACCAGCCGCAGCAGGAGGGGGAGGAGGAGCAGGAGCAGGTGGAGGAGTCAGGGCAGGGTTTACAGCAGGCAAGGCTGGGCTTGGGCTTGCCTATTCCCGAGAGCCATCCGCAGCAGACCTGTCCCTCTCCGTCTCCCCGTGGATCTCCCCTGCCACTTCCCAGCTCAGCCTCACCTCCATGTCGCACATCAGCCTGACAGACCTTGCAGTCGTGGCTTCCCGAAGCGGCAGGTCCGGGGCTGGCGCGCAGGCTCGGCCCGTGGCTCGGGTGTCCAGCCGCCTGTCTCTGCCACTGTCAGCTTCAGACCCAGCTCTAGCAGCCGCTCAGAGTGTTCTGGCTGGGGCAGGCACAGCAGGGACAGGTGCAGGAGCAGGAATAGGGTCAGGAGCAGGAGGGGCAGGAGGGGGAGGAAGGGCAGGGGTGCTGGGAGGGGGACGAGTGATGCCATACACTCCGTCTGCCCCCAACTTTGGCCTTCTGGGCAGCCCTGCAAGGCGTGACGCTAGCAGCAGTGGGGGACAGTTCACCAGTGGAACAGGAGAGGCAGGAGGAGGTGAGGTGATCGCAGAAGCAGGGTCGGAAAGAGAGGACGTGAAAGTATCCGCGCTGGTTCGTGCGCTGGACGGCAGCGGGCGGCTGTTGCTGTCTGATGCGGTGGCAGCAGTGGCATCAGTGGTACCAGATTACCACCCCACGGTCATCTGGACTCTACTCAACCAGGGATTGCTGCCTTCTGCACGTGCATGCATCCGCCACCTCTCGCGCTCCCTCGCTGCAGCCCAAGCCAAGGCTCACAGTGCTCACAGCCAGCACCAGCCGGTTAAGGGTTTTATCTCTCAGACCTGCCATGGCTCCTCGTCTTCCTCCTCCTCTTCCTCCACTGGTTGTTGCATCCCTCCATGTGTCCCCTATTCACAGCTGTGCCTCCCTGAAGCCTCCTCCTCTGCCTCAGGTGCACCTGCCGCGAAGGCTGCTGCTGCTGCCTCGTCCGGACGTCTGTCGGGGGGATTCGGAGGGGATTTTGGGGGATTTGGAGGGTCTGGAGGGGGTTTCGCTGGGTTTAGCAGCACAGGAGAAAGTAGTATGGGAAGCAGGTCTGGTGGGGGTGGGGGGGGCGCTGGTCGGGGGACTAGTGCAAGGGCGAGTGGTGGTGGTGGTGGTGGTGGTGGTGGTGGGTCCAAGCAAGCGTATAATCCTTTTAGTCTCGTGAACGTGAGAAGTGCTTTGGATGACAGTGATGGGGAGGTGGAGGGGGAAGAGGTGGACGTGGGAGGGAAGAGAGGGTCAGCTGGAGCAGGAGAGAGCAGCAAGGGTGCTGATAGTGGTGGTGGAGGAGGAGGAGGAGGGTTGGGAGTGAAGGGTAGTGGCGTTGTTCCACCTGCAGTGCTGCGGTGGCAGCAGTTGCAGCAGCGGGTGCTGGTGAGGGGGCAAGCTCCTTTCACAGAGGCCGAAGCAACAGCCATCTTCCAGGTGCTATCTGAGGCAGGCGGGACCTGCAGCACCGGTACCTCCTCTGGTGGTGGTAGTGGTACACGGATGGCTGGTGTGCGGTACACCTCTGGGTTGACAGCAGCGGAGGCGGACATGGTGGTGGTGTTGTTAGACGTGCTCGCAGCCATGGATGGTGTGGGCGTGAAGGAGGAGGAGGAGGAGGAGTTGCAGCAGCCTGAGGGTGGTTCTTCATCGTCAGCAGTAACAGCAGCAGCGTCAGTGGCGCGAGCAGTCAAGGCTCTAGATGAACCGGGGAAAAGGTAGTCTCTTGTCCTTACCTCCCTCCCTCCGTCCCTCCGTCCCTCCGTCCCTCCCTCCCTCCGTCCGTCCGTCTGCCATCCCTCCCTTCCTCCCTCCCTCCCTCCCTTCCTCCTTCCCTCCTCCGTTCCCCAGTTCGACTGATCTTACTCTTTCTCCCCTCACATTCTTCCTCCACAGCCTGACAGCCTGACACGTTCTCCTGGCGGACAGCACACTGCACCTCTCACATGCAGTCTAGTCTCGAAAGCCTCAGAAGCCTCTCGCCTCTCAGCCGAGCTTGTCTTCTCCCCTCTCTCTCTACCTCCCTGCTGCAGGTTCTGGCTCGCGCTCCACCCCTCCCGTGCAGCAAAATGACACTAACAACTGCTCACAGAGTTCTTCTCCCCTTCCCGCCCCTCCCCCCTCTTCACTCCCTCCCTCCGTGCTGCAGGTTCTGGCTCGCACTCCACCTCTCCCGTGCAGCAAAGAAGCACCAGCAGCGCCGCGCTGCTGCCGCAGCCGCAGCCGCAGCTGCAGCAGCTGAAAAGGCCGCCTCAGCAGCAACCACCAGAGCAGGAGCAGCAGCTTCTGCCTTCAGCTCTTCTTCTGCCCGTAGGCTCAGCATCAGCAGCAGGTCCGGGGCAGGTTCATCTGGGGCAGGTGGGCTTGGGCAGCAGCAGCAACAGCAGGGGCAGGGGCAGGGGCAGGGGAAGCAGGGGCAGGGGCAGCAGCAGGGGCAGGGGGAGGGGCAGGAGGGGAAGCTGGAGGTGGAGTCGCGTGCAGTGGCGTGGGCGGTGCACACGGAGTCAGTGGGTGATGTGGTGAATGCATGCCTGCATGATGCTGACAAACCCACGTGGGCGGGTCTCAGGGCGCTGGGAGTCGGGTACTGGCTCTGCAACGCCACGCAGCTCAGACAGCTGGTGGGTGTATGGCCATCTATAGTCTATCTTGTGGTGGAGTGTGCTGGAGTGTGCTGGAGTGTGGTGGATTGTGGTGGAGTGTGGTGGAGTGTGGTGGAGTGTGGCGCAGTGTGCTGGAGTGTATTGGAGTGTGGTGGAGTGTGGCGGAGTGTGCTGGAGTGTATTGGAGTGTGGTGGAGTGTAGTGGAGTGTGGCGGTTTCTACGCTTTTGCCACCCGTTCCATCTCGTTCCATCTCTTTCCCTATCTTACCGTACCACCCTCCCTCCCCTCAGATGGAGCGGGTAGCGCGGGCGCAGTACCAGCAGAGGCGGGATCCCAAGGACTGTGCGCTGCTCTACATGGTTCTGGACCGCCGCTCCGTGCTGCACGGGCTGCTCAAGCTCAGCCGCGACGACCGCGACAAGAAACTGGTGGACTTCCTGGGGAGGGACTTCACGGTACGTGAAACATGGGCCTTAGGAGGGTTTCTTGAGGGGCTTGCGGGGGGGACAGGGTCAGGGTCAGGGCCTGGGTCAGGGTCGGGTTCAGGGTCGGGGTCAGGGTCGGGGTCAGGGTCGGGGTCAGGGCCTGGGTCAGGGTCGGGTTCAGGGTCGGGGTCAGGGTCGGGGTCAGGGTCGGGGTCAGGGCCTGGGTCAGGGTCGGGTTCAGGGTCGGGGTCAGGGTCGGGGTCAGGGTCGGGGTCAGGGTCGGGTTCAGGGTCGGGTTCAGGATCGGGGTCAGGGTCGGGGTCAGGGCCTGGGTCAGGGTCGGGTTCAGGGTCGGGGTCAGGGTCGGGGTCAGGGTCGGGGTCAGGGCCTGGGTCAGGGTCGGGTTCAGGGTCGGGGTCAGGGCCTGGGTCAGGGTCGGGTTCAGGGTCGGGGTCAGGGTCGGGATCAGGGTCGGGGTCAGGGTCGGGGTCAGCGTCCTTCTGTGCTTCAAACCCCATCCCCATGTCCTCCTGCCCCACACCTGCCCATTCCCTCCAATTGCTCCCCCGCCATCCCTCCTGTTCACACTCACAGGCGGAGCGGCACAGAGCAGCAGCTCTGAAGAACGCGTATGTGCTCCTTTCTCAACACCACTGAAGTCGCAGCACCGCTTTGACCTCGCACCCACCTTCTTCCTCCTGGGCGACGACATTCCCTCAAGGAATCCCCAGCCCTTGTACTGTGACAACAGGGCTGTTCCGACCCAACCACTGCTTTACCCCGGATACCCCACTTCCCCTTCTGCCCCACCCCTACCCCCTCCTTCCAACTGCGTCTCCTGCTTCCATTCCCACCCACCATTCATCCTCACAGGAGGAGCGGCACAGAGCAGCAGCTCTGAAGAATGCGTATGTGCTCCTTTCGCAGCACCGCTTTGACCTCGCAGCCACCATTTTCCTCCTGGGAGACGACATCCCCTCCTCTGCCTCCGTGTGCGCCCGCAACCTCAACAAGCTGACCAATGTTCCCTCCCGCCCTCCCTCCCTCCCTCCCTCCCTTTCACTCCCACCGTCCCCTCTTCCATTCTCCACTCCCTACCCTAACAGGAGGAGCGGCACAGAGCAGCAGCACTGAGGAACGCGTATGTGCTGCTGTCGCAGCACCGCTTTGACCTGCCAGGCACCATTGTGCTGTCTTCCCCCTCCACTCCCTCTTCCATCCCCCCCTGTCACAGGAGGAGCGGCACAGAGCAGCAGCTCTGAAGAATGCATACGTGTTGCTGTCGCAGCACCGCTTCGACCTCGCAGCCACCTTTTTCCTCCTGGGAGACGACATCCCCTCCGCCGCCTCTGTGTGCGCCCGCAACCTCAACGACCCCCAGCTCGCGCTCGTGCTGTGCCGGCTGCGGGAGGACAAGGCGGGGGCGGCAGCATATTCAAAGGATGTGATTCAGCGGCTCTTGTTGCCAGAGGCTGTTTCGAAAGGGGACGCCTGGATGGTCTGCACTCTCAAGGTGAGAAAGTGACATTCCCTCTGCTGCCTCCGTCCGTCTGTGCGCGCAACCTCGGGGATCCGCAGCTGGCGCTCGTGCTGTGCCGGCCGAGGGAGGACAAGGCGGGGGCTGGAGCGTACTCGAGGGACGTGATTCAGCGCCTGCTGCTGCCGGATGCTGTTTCCAAAGGGGATGCCTGGATGGTTTGCACGCTTAAAGTGAGGCGTTTTGGTTTTGGAATTTAAGGTCTTCCTCACTGCCAGTTCCTGCCCCGTTCGCATCATATCACCCTGCCACACATCTCCAATCACATCCTGCAGAAGTGAAGCCATGCCGTGCCTGCCCTGCCGCTCCATCCATCCCTGTCTACTCCCCTTCACAGTGGCTTATGGGACAAAAGCTCGAAGCCCTCCAAGACCTTGTCCTGTCCTCCCACTACAACACCAACACTCCCTCCCTCACTCGCTCCTCCTCCTCCTTCTCCACCACCGCCACTGCCAGCTCAGCACTCACCCCGTCGCACCCCGCCATGTCAGCAGCCGAGCCAGCTGGCGCTGAGGTGGCGGCGTTCTGCGCCACAGTGGCAAAGAAGCCAGGTCTGGGGGAGGAGACGGAGGCAGTGCAGGGACTGGCAGCAGTGGCAGCAGTTGAGGCTGTAAGTGGGAGCGACCACATGGGACTTGTGCTGCAATCTGTGCTCGAAATCACCAAGCAGAGGGGTTTGGGTCCGGTTCAGAGCGGTGCTGGTCAGGCGCAGAGCGGTGCTGGCGGTTTCAGTGGTGGGGCTCTGGATTTCGAAGGCATGAACGTGGGCTCAGGCAGCAATGGTGCTGTAGGTTCAGGTGGAGCTGGTTTAAGTGTTCCCATGGGGGCAATGGTCGGGAAGACAGTAGGTTCGGTACCAGCGGTAGTGGGGGAGGGATGGGTGATGCCTGCAGTGGTGGCAGCAGTGCAATCAGCCAAGCTGCGGCAGCTGCTGAAGCAGAGAGCTGCTGCCTGCCTTGCTGCTGCTAGCGTGGTAGACGGAGATGTTAAGAGCGGTGGGAGAGACGGGAGAGTGGGAGGAGGAAGAGGAGGAGGAGGAGGGAGGGGAGGAGGGAGCAGGGGGGTGTGTGAGGTGGTGGAGGAGGTGGAGGCATGGGCTAAGCACTGTGCGAGCGATCACACTGCTGCCCTCGCTGCTGTGAGTCTCCTTCCCCTTCTCACTGCCCCATCTGATACTTCGCTTCAGTAACTCCCGTGCATGACACCACTCCTTCCTGTGCTGTCCATTGGACTGCTCTTGACCTCCCTATTCGTTCTGTACTAAATCCATTTGTGGCGTCCTCACTGCCACCGCCTCTATTTCCTCATTCCCTCTTCCCGTTCCCAGTCACATCCCCTTCAGTTCCAGTTTCAACCGTTCCACTCCAATCTCCCCCCACCACCCACCCCCCACCTCCCCCACCTCCCTTCTCTTTTCCCTCCAGATATCCTCCCAGGCCATAACGGCCTCTCAGCCATTCACCTTATGCCACGTCACGGCCCACATGGCACAATGGGCCATCCCCAGGCCGCTCCCGCGCCCAGATGCAATCTCCACCGTCCATCCGCCCCACCTTATTGAAGATCTACGCGCACAGCTGTGCATGGTAATCCTTAGGCGGGTGGCCGTCAGTCTCCCCCCCGCACTGTCACGGGTGGTCATGGGGAGAGGGGCGGTGGGCGGAGGGAGGTGGAGGGTGAAGCGAGTAGGTTCTGGGCCTGGTGAAACGAAATTCCCACCACAGCAGCAGCCGCAGCAGCAGCAGCAGCAGCGGCAGCATCAGGGACAGCAGCAGCAGGAGAAAAAGCAGCGTTTGCTAAATCATCATCTGGACGAGGGTCTGGGCGTGGATGCGTTGCGATTGGTCCACGTGGCAGGGGAGATCCTGCAGATGTGGCGGGAAGGAGCAGCAGCAATGCGAGCTGCCGCTGCTGCCTCTGCTTCTGCCGCCGCCCATGCTGCTTCTGCCTCCACCTCTGCCTCTGCCCCTGCTGCTGCAGCAACAGCTGCTGCTGCTGCCAATGCAAGAAACCACCCATCAAGCCCATCATTCACACCCCCCACATCCCCCATCCCGCCCCACATGGCTCTAGACAATTCAGAGACCTTGCTAGAGCAGAAGATAGAGGCCGAGGGGCGAGTAGTGGCTGCTCTGGCTCTCATCTGCTTTGTAACTGCTGCCTGGATGTCTCACCGCCCTCTCACCCTTGCTCGACTGCTCGAGCCAGTGGTGAGGGAGCGAGGCGGGGAGAGAGGATGGAGAGGGGTCGGGGAAGGAGGGTTTGGTGAGAAAATGGGGGGAGATGGGGAAGGGGAGAGAGTCGTGCGGAGTGTGGGGGGGAGATTAGGGGTTGGGGGGGTTGGTGGAGCGCCTGTGTTGTCTGGGGAGGGGGAGGATTGCCTGGAGTGGTTTCTGGGGTTGGAGAGACGGTTGAATGGGGGAGGTGGGGTGGCTGGCGAAGGAGGGGAGCGAGAGCATGGAGGGGGGCTGGTGCATACAGGAGGGGGTGTTAATGGTGCAGGGGGAGAGAGAAAGGGAGATAAGGAGAAGGAGGTGGGGCAGGGCACAGCAGAACTTGGGGGGAAGGATGAGGAGGGCAGATTCGTGAGACCTGGATGGGCGGTTGTAGAGGGAAAAGTGGTGGTCCTATCAGAGGACGACATGTGGCGCGTTGTGGGCACGTCAGTGTGGTCGCTAGTGGAGTGGTATGTGAGGAAGCAGGCCGTGCCTCCGTCGCTTATTAGCCGGGCGTTCCAGTCGTTTGGGTGGATGTCACCTGTCCAGTCACACCTGCAGAACCACCACCACCAGCACCCGCAGCAGCTGCAGCCTCAGCACCCGCAGCACTTGCAGCAGCAGCAGCAGCAGGGTCGTTTGTTTGGGCAGCCCAGCCATTCTCAGCAGCAGCAGGTGGGGCAGCAGGGGCAGGGGGGGCGCAGTCCCATGCAAGCCCCCCCGGCTCACCCTCTCCATCTCTCCCATCTCCTTCCCCAGCATCACAACCACAACCACCAGCAGCAGCAGCAGCATTGGCAGCCGCCGCACCACTTTGTTCCCTACAGCCCACCCCAAAGCGGCACCACCACCCCAACCCTCTCCACCCCTCCTCTCTCACCCCACCTTCACCCCCACGCCCTTCTCTCGCCTGACCAGCACCAGCACCAGCTGCTGCAGCAGCAGCAATACCACCATCACCACCATCAGCAGCAGCAATACCACCACCATCAGCACCATCAGCAGCAGCAGCCCCCACCTGCCCCATCCTCTTTCTTCTCTGCTTTCTCCCGGCCTTGGACCTCTCCAGCCTCCCCTGCCCCTTCCTCCTCCTCCTCCTCCCTCCTCTCCCCCGCGCCCTCCCCTGCTCCCTCCCCCGCACCCTCCCACCTGAAGCCAACAGGGGCAGCAGGAGGGGGGATGGCGGGAGCAGCATCAGCAGCTGCTGCAGCGGCAGTGGCAGCAGCAGCCAAAGCAGCAGATAGGGCAGGAGGAGGGGGTGAGCGAAGAACAGGGGCAGTTGCAGGGGTGGGGAGAGGGGGAAGCAGAGTCGCAGCAGCAGATTCCGCCCATTTGTTTCCGCAGGCGCTCCTACCAGACGCATGTGCTGCTGCAGCTGCGTCTGACGCGCTGGTCCTCGCGTCTGCACGCGTGGCGTCTGCCCTCAGGCGCCAGCTGGCGGCACACGTCAGCACCCGCATGCACGTGCGTGGGGGGGGTGTAAGTTCAGGAGCGCGGGGTGTGGGCACCAGGAGCGTACAGCTTAGTGCTGCTGCGGGTGGCGGTGCTGGCAGTGGTGGTGGTTTGAAGGAGGAGGCTGCTTGTGCATATTCCCACTGGGCGTCCATAGCAGCAGCAGATGGGCTGCTGCAGTGGCTGGCAGATGAATGCTCGCTTCATCACAACCACCACCAGCACAACCAGCAGCACGGGCAGCAGCAGCAGCAGCAGCACCAGCACACTCACCAGCAGCACAGTCAGCAGCAGATGCACAGCAGTGGGGGCCTGGGGCACATGTCACGGCACCATGGCAACATACCCACACACCCAGACGCACATGGACATGGCGGCGCTGTTGCTGCTGCTGCCACGACCCATGCAGCCTCCACGCACTCGCACCTGCCATCGGCCCATCCCGGCACAGCTAGCGCTGCAGCACCAGGAGCAGCAGGGATTGCACCAGGCGCCACTGCAGGAGGACTTGCAGGAGGAATGGCAGGAGGAGCGTCAGGAGGAACGGTAGGAGAATTAGATTTCAGCAGTGTAGCTCATCATACCCGCGTTGGGACTTGCCCGTTGCTCCCTAACGTACCCCATACAGTGCTCGAGTTCCCTGAATCCGGCCCTGTTTTAGTCCTTGCTGCTGCAACAGACGTTGCTTATATCGAAGCTGCTAGTAATGGGGCTGAAGGGCCTGGAGGTGCTGCTGCTGCTGCTGCTGCTGGTGGTAAGGCTGGTGGGAGGCTGGAGGGAGGTAGACCTGGGGTAGGTGGTACTAGGGGACCTTCCGTTTTGGGGAAAAGTGCTTTGGGATCAACAGGGGTGGGAGGGGCGAGGGCAGGAGGAGGGGGGAAGGATGAAGGGAAGGATGGTAGGGGAGGGGTGGGAGGAAGGGGAGGGAAGGTTGTGGAGGAGGGAGGGGCATGTGATTTGGGTGAGTGGGGCCAGGCGTGTGGCAAGCTTTGGCAGCTTGTGGTCGCTAAGGACAAGCTGCGCAGCGTTCTGGGCGTCGATGGATTTGATTTTGCTGAGCTGGCAGCATGGAGGGAGAGGAGGGAGGCTGACGTTGCAGCAGCTGAAAGGGCAGCTCGAAAATCCGCCGCCGCAGCAGCAGCCACGGCAGGAGGAGGAGGAAAAGGAGGAGACGGATGGGGAGGGGGAGGTGGAGGAGGAGAAACAGGAGGAGGCTGGGGCGGAGGAGGAGGTGGGCAGGGGAAGGTGACAGCTGGGGGAGGCGCAGGGGGGGGATGGGGGGAAGCAGGGGGGAAAGGGAGGGGGGGGAGGGGGGGCACTGGGGGAGGAATGGAGCGAGTGCAGACAGAGGCGCAGTTAAGTCTTGGGGTAGGGGGGCTGGGTTCAAGAGCAGTGTCAACACCGAGCCTGATTGGGCTGATTGGGAGGGAGAAGGAGGTGGAGGGAGGAGGAGGGAAGTGGGGAAGCGCAGGGGGGAGCATGGGGGATGTGAGGGAACAGGCGAGGAAGGCGGGAGCGAGTGAGGGCGAGCAGGGGGGGAGGGTGAAAGGAGGGGCAGGAGAAGAACCAGATGATAACAAGTCGGGTGAGGGGGGAGAGAGGGGAGAGGAGGAAGAAGAGGCAGGTGTGAGATGGGCGAAAACAGCCCTCGGGGAGCCTCTAGAGGTGCTGAAAACGGGGGGAGAGTTACTGGAGGGCGTGTGTGTGAATGCACTGAATCCGAGGCAGGCAGTGGTGGCCACCAATCGCAAGGGACTTCTCTTCTTTGACATTCACAGTGCCTCAGCTTCCCACTCCTCTTCCGGGCACCTCAGTGCGTCTGCTGCTTCCTCTGGTTACTCTGGTTACCCTGGTGCTTCTGGTTACGGCAGTCATGCTGCTGCAGCCGGCCCTGGCTCTGCAGTGTTTGACAGTCTCTGGGCGTCTGCCTGCTGGCCTGCTGATAGCTACGCAGGCCGTGTTGCCACCCCCCCTCCTGCCCACTTCGCCCTCCTCACCCATTCCCCTAGTGGCCGCATGAACCTGCCCGGTTCTGCTGGTGCTGCTGGTGGTGGTTGGGGCGGGGGAGCAGGGCAAAGCGGGGAGAGCATGGGAAGCAGTGGGGCCGGGAGCATGGGAGGCGGAGGGGGAGTGGGTCGGCTGGGTGGGTTCGGGAGCAGCAGTTTCAGCAGTGCCAGCATCGGCAACAACCCTGCAAATACCTCCTCGCCCTTCTCCCCAATAGGCTCGGCGGTGGGCAGGGGCGCGGCGGCTCGGGATTCGTCTTATGCGGGCGGCGTGGGGATGGGGATTCCGGGGTATGGGGGGATAGGCGCGTGGGGATTGGGATGGGAGGACTTGGAGGATGCGGAGGAGGGGTATGTGGACCCACCGGCCACAGCAGAGTCGGTGGCGGGGAGGGCGTTGGCTGCTCACCCCCTCAGGCCCTTCTTCCTGGTCGGCTCCACCAACACGCATGTGTACCTCTGGCAGGTCAGTGTGGGCTGCTGCTCTCTGTCAGGTGTGTGTGCCCTGGGGTGGGTGGGAGGACCTGGAGGATGCGGAGGAGGGGTATGTTGATCCGCCTGCTACAGCTGAGTCTGTAGCAGGGAGAGCGTTGGCTGCCCACCCCCTCAGGCTGTTCTTCCTAGTTGGCTCCACCAACACCCACGTGTACCTTTGGCAGGTGCGTGGGCTTCTTCCCTCTGGCAGTTTTGTTGTTGTTGCAGGTAGGTATATGAATATATAGCTGCTGGTGGGTGCCAGGTGGTTGGGTTGCCCTGGCAGGCGCGTAGGGACTGGGGTGGGTGGGAGGACCTGGAGGATGCGGAGGAGGGGTATGTGGATCCGCCTGCTACGGCAGAGTCTGTAGCGGGGAGAGCGCTGGCGGCTCACCCCATCAGGCCATTCTTCCTGGCTGGCTCCACCAACACCCACGTGTACCTCTGGCAGGTGGGCTGCTCTGGCAGGTGGGTGGGGTGCTGCCCTGTGTCAGGTGAGTGTGCTGTTGCCGTGGGTAGAGTAGACCCATGGTGGACCACCATACCCCCCAGTGTGGTCTCCCACCTCCCTCCACCATACCCCCCAGTGTGGTCTCCCACCTCCCTCCACCATACCCCTCAGTGTGGTCTCCCACCTCCCTCCACCATACACCCCAGTGTGGTCTCCCACCTCCCTCCACCATACCCCTCAGTGTGGTCTCCCACCTCCCTCCACCATACCCCCCCACCCCCTCAGTTCGGCGCACCAGCAGCCACCGCGACGTATGGAGTGCTCCCCGCGGCCAACACGCCAGTGCCGCTGGTCATCCCCTCTGTCACCGCCCTCTCCCTGCCCCGCTACGGGGAGCGCTTCACCACCGCTGCTGCTCCCCTCTCTCCCCTTCCCCTCACCCACTCCGCAACCACCCTGCTGCTCTGATTCTCCTCACTCTTTGCTGGGTTCTCCCTCCTGCCCTCTTTCTCCCCACCATACATCATCCCCACCCCCACAGTTCGGTGCGCCAGCAGCCACGGCAACGTATGGGGTGCTGCCAGCTGCCAACACGCCAGTGCCGCTGGTCATCCCCTCTGTCACTGCCCTCTCCCTGCACCGCTACGGGGAGCGCTTCGCCACCGCTGCTGCGGACGGCACGGTGTCGATGTGGCAGCTGGAGGTGGGGGGGAGGAGCAACGTGAAGCCCACTGAGACCAAACACTGCTTTGGGCGGAGCGCCAGGTGAGAGGGGGAACGGTGAGGCGATGGGGAATGGATTGTCTCGTGCTATGGGTCCGCTGCTGCGGACGGCATTTTGAGGCGCCTCAAAAGTTGTCTCGTGCTATGGAACCACTGCTGCGGACGGCACTGTGTCGATGTGTCAGCTGGAGGTGGGCGGGCGCAGCAACGTGTGAAGCCTGCAGAGACCAAGCACTGCTTTGGACGGAGCGCAAGGTGAGAGGGGAAAGGGGGAATGGTATTGTGGCAGGTGAAATTATGAAATACGCTCCACAACTCTTCCCCAGACTCGCTTTGCATATCCCACCTCTCATCTCTCCACCTGACCACTGCATGCAGTGACGTGACATTTCTTGGCCCAGGAGCAGCGTGCTGGCATTCAAAAACTCCCTATTCTGCATGCGGGCCCAGCATGCACGCATGCAGCGTGCTGGCATTCAAAAACTCCCTATTCTGCATGCGGGCCCAGCATGCACGCATGCAGCGTGCTGGCATTCAAAAACTCCCTATTCTGCATGCGGGCCCAGCATGCACGCATGCAGCGTGCTGGCATTCAAAAACTCCCTATTCTGCATGCGGGCCCAGCATGCACGCATGCAGCGTGCTGGCATTCAAAAACTCCCTATTCTGCATGCGGGCCCAGCATGCACGCATGCAGCGTGCTGGCATTCAAAAACTCCCTATTCTGCATGCGGGCCCAGCATGCACGCATGCAGCGTGCTGGCATTCCATGCATGCTGCTCACCCCGCATGTGATGAGTGGATTTTTGAGTTTTTGAGAATGCTAAAAAACTCCCTATTCTGTGCATACTGCTCACCCCGGATGTGATGAGTCGAGTATTGAGTCGACTAAAAAATCGACGCATCATGCTATCCATGCAGGCATGCTATCCATGCAGGCATGCTATCCATGCAGGCATGCTATCCATGCAGGCATGCTATCCATGCAGGCATGCTATCCATGCTGCTCACCCCTTGGCTCCAAAATCCACCCCACCTCACCCCACCCCGTTCCACCCCTCCACACCCCACTTTCCCCTCACAGTGGAGTGGCGTTCATAGGGGCGAGCAGCAGTGTGCTGGCAGCGGTGGGGCAGAGCCCATCTCAGGACAACCTGGTCGTGTGGGACTCCTGAGACGTCTAGAAAATCTCACCCAACTTCATTCCACCTCACCCCACTACACCCTGCATTCCCTGCCCACAGTGGAGTGGCGTTCATAGGGGCGAGCAGCAGTGTGCTGGCAGCGGTGGGGCAGAGCCCATCGCAGGACAACCTGGTCGTGTGGGACTCCCTCGCCCCGCCCAACGCCTCCCGCGTTGCCATCAACTGCCACCAAGGCAAGTCTGCCGTTCAATCGATTGTCCCCTGGGCTTCTTCAGAAGTCCGTCATTCTGGTCGAGTTCTCCTGCCATGCATGGGCTCTTGCATGGTGCAGAGCCCCTCGCACATGTAGAGAGGGTATTTTTGAGACGTCTCAAGAATACCCTCTCTACACGTCGAGTTCTCCTGCCACCAAGGCATGGGCTCTTGCATGGGGCAGAGCCCCTCGCAGGACAACCTGGTCGTGTGGGACTCCCTTGCTCCACCCAACGCCTCTCATGTTGCCACCAACTGCCACCAACTGCCACCAAGGCAAGTTCCACAGTTGAGGCGTGATTTCCCGTCCATGCACGCTCCTTACTCCGTTTCTCTCAGCGTTGCCCCTTTCTCACCACCATCCGTCAACTTCTCAACATCATATCCCTCTCCTCACTCATCCCACTGCAGGTGGCGCCACCAGCATCGCTATCGTTGACAACACCATCCCTGCTGCCGCCGCCACAGGGAGCACCGGGGGAGCAGCAGCACGGGGAGGAACAGGGGGTGGCAACGGAGGAGGAGGAGGAGGACAGCTGTCGGCGTCTCATTCGCTGATCGTGACAGGCGGCAAGGCCGGCGATATCTCAGTGCACGATTTCCGGTTCATTGCGAGCGGCAAGAGCGGCCGCAAGGGGGGCGGAGGCGGGGGCGGGGGGAGCAAAGACGGAAGCAGAAACATCAGTAACAGCAACAACAGCGGCGGCGGTGGCGGCAGTGGCAGCAGCGGCGGCGGTGCAGGCAGTGGTGCAGTGGGCAGTGGTGGTGGTGGTGGGTATGGGGATCGGGCGCTGTGGCACATTCCCCGGGCGCACAGCAGCAGTGTGTCGGCGATTCTATCCCTGCCCGGCACGCCGCTGTTCCTGAGTGCGGGCAAGGACGGCGAGGTGAAGCTGTGGGACGCCTCGCGCTGCCAGCTGCTCAGGGAGTGGCCCCGCGTGCATGAGAAACGCACTTTCCTTAATGCCCGCGGCTTTGGAGCCGTCATGCAGGTGGGTGTGCTGTGTGGGCTACTGGGTGCTAGTCACGCAGGTGGCTGTGCTGCTGGTTGGGGGAGTGGGCTTGTATGCAGACCTGGTTGTTTACTTCTTGGTTCCCATCGCGGTAATGGATGTGGATGCTTTGTTGCCCATTCTCTCCCCTTTCAATTGCAGGATGGTGTGATTGATATGAGTTCATCAACCCGAGGCATCCTCACATGTATGATGAGTGGTTTATTGTTAACCCATTCTGTTACCCGACCTTCTCCCCCTCCCTTCTTTTCTTCTTTCTCAATGGCAGGTTGGTGTGATGGATATGATTCCCTCAACCCATGGCCTTCTAACATGTGGCGGTGATGGCTTTGTCAAGCTCATTCCATTTACTGCATAAGCCATCAGACCAGTCAGATGGTTCGTTGTGCCATAAAAGTACCCATTCATGGTGTAATTGTGATGATTCGTTATGAGTTACGATCGATTCTGATCAATCTTGTGACGCTGCTTCAGCTGTTCAGCTATTAGCATTCATGAATTGGAGCCAAAAACTAGGTCTCTCTTTCTTTCACTCACTCTATTCGTGCACAATATCGCAACCGCGGCCGCTAATAGCGAGGATTGGAATGTCAGCTCGACCAAACATCCAAGTGCAAAATTGAACAAATCACCATATTCTTTCTACGCAGGACAGGTGGAACACAGCAGTTGTTTTCTTACTCAAAACACATCACGCCTCGCCGTCACCGTCGCCATGCACGCTGCTCTCGTCGCACCCGAGGTGGCCGCGACGCCACTCAATCAACCCGCGCGTATCGCGATGTTGGAAATTCCACCCTGAGCGCTCGAAAGCAGCACGCTAGCATGGCACTCTCACCGATGGGAACCACTGGAAACCGCGTTCCCATCATTTCCATGGGCCGGTCTTCCCTCTCACGCCTTCTCTACACGCCATTCTCATCATCGCGTCGGCCGTTATGCTCGTTACCCCTTCTCGTCGTCGTCCTTTTCATCTACCTTCGCTGCTCTCACGCTCTCTTCTTCCTGTCCGGTCTCCAGACGCTCTCAGCTTCGGGTGAATTGATAATCGTTCGTGTCTCGTCAGTCGGAATAGAGCTTGCTTATTTGTTTCCTTCTCACGGCTGAATTCGAAGCACAGGTTAATCTCGTGTGACACGTCAGCGTTATCATCACTCCCTGGTAGTGCATATCACCATTCAGCGTTCTCAAGTTGCTCCTCTCGATCCGCCATGGCGCTCAGCTGGCTCACGCTGTTCCTCATCGACGTGCTCTTCATCGTGCTGTCTCCCGGGCTGCTGCTCCAGGTACTTTCTGTTAATGAGATGCTGGCTGGCATGTGACATGACATGTTCATACTGGATGTCAGCTTGGAAAGCGTGTCAACATGTGTATCCCGTTTCCCATGTTGGTAATCTTCATCGTGCTTTCTTTGGGGCTGCTGCTCCAGGTACTGTTAATGTGATGCAGGCATGTGACAGGATGGTTATACTGCATGTCTCGTTCATGTTAGATACTATCCTCGTGAATGTGTTTATCATTCTCCGTTTATCGCTCTCTGTTTTATCATTCTTTGTATCGTCTGCTTGGAGGGTCTTTAATCTTACCTCACACGTAATCTTATGAATACATCCCTTCGCACCGCTTCTCTCTTGCTGTTTTGTCTCAGATTCCAGGCGACACACAGCCAATAGAGTTCCGCAACTGGCGCACGTCTCTCGCGTCAGTGTTGGTGCATGCAGTGGTGTTCTTCATCTTGCTGCTTCTCATTGATGAGTATTACTTCTCCAGTGCTGCTGGTGGCGGTGGTGGGGGAAAACATGATTAGATGATCAAGCGTTGTTTGTTGTTGGGGGTGGCGGCAGTGGGAAGTGTCATAGGATAATAATCATCGGTCAGTGTGTTGGTGCATGCAGTGGTGTTCTTCATCTTGCTGCTTCTGATCGATGGGTATTACTTCTCCATGCTGCTGGCGGTGGTGGTGGGAAGCATGATTAGAGGATGTGTTGGGCTGAAAAGGCCCTTAGGATCTTTGCAGGGGTGAACTCTGGGTAGAGTTGGTGTAGTAGCGGAAGCGTTAATTAAAGAGTTGTGAACCACCTTGCGCTAGTATGTGAGGGCAAAGTAAGTTGATTAAAACAAAGAGATACAAGATTATATAAGAGTACAAGGAATATGAAAGGATACGGTTATAACTGTTTTACTTGTTGCTGTTGCGGTTCGATACAGTGACGACTCGGGCAACTGCTCTGTAGCGAGTCAGTTGTGTGTCCTTGCTGTCGCGCTGTACTTGTCAGGTCAAAGGTCGCTGACCTTTGACTTTCGCGTAACCTCCAGCGGTTACTTCAACCTTCGAGGGTTGACTCGCTGGTGCCTCGATATGCTTTGCTTCGCTTGTGCCTTAGTGTTTCGACACGACAGAAGCGCTTAGGACCGATTGTTTCCAACACTCCCCTTCACTTCTGGAGTGTCGCTGACGTGGCTCTGTCCAGTCAGCAGCATGCAGTATTCGAACTTCTGCTTTCCGAGCTTCTTGGTCAGGTAGTCAGCTGCCATCTCGGACGTGGGGCAGTATGACAGCTCGAGCCTTCCCTTCTCGATCTCGTCCTTCACGAAGAAATATCGCAGGGCGATGTGTTTCGTCCTGTTCGCGAAGCCGTTCTTGTTGGCGATGCGAATTGCCGATTGGTTGTCGCAGAACAGGGTAAAGTTGGGTAACTCGGCTAACTTCGCTTCTTCCAGCAGCTCGCGAAGATAGAGTCCTTCCTTGGTGGCTGAGCAGAGTGCAATATATTCTGCTTCAGCTGACGAGAGAGCAATTAGTTCCTGCTTGCTCGATTGCCAGGAGATAGGTCCGATAGGTTCGAGGCGGTAGATGTAGCCGGTGCGGGAGCGCCTATTGTCTGAGTCGCCCGCGTGATCTGCGTCGACGTAACCGATTAGCTTAGGCGTTGTAGTTGCGTTCTTATGGAAAGTCAGGCCGACCGTCGGGGTACTGACAAGGTAGTGAAGAGCGCGGTCGAGCTCCGCCAGATGTTCCGCTTCAGGCTTCTTGAGGTGGGTGGCGAGCTGGCTTGCAGAGTAGGATATATCTGGGCGGCAGGTGACAGCTGCGAAGAGAAGGCAGCCCAGCTTTCTCTGGTAGTCGCGTATGCCGGCGGGCTTGAGTAGAACGGAGCCTTCCTTGTTGTTTGCTGTCGTGTAGCGGTACGGTGTGGAGATGACAGTCGGTGTGAGTGCGAAACGCTTGGCGATGGTGTCGGCGTATTTCGCGGCGCTGAGGTAGATAGCGTCTTCCTCTTCCCGGATGTTGAGGCCGAGGTACTGTGTGACGGTAGATGAGACCGTGAGTGTGAGGTCTTGCTGTAGCTCCCCTTCGAACCAGGTTGTAATGCCGTCAGTTGAGCCGATGTAGAGCAGATCGTCTACATAGACGATTAGCAGGATGTAGTCGGTACCCTTCGTGAGCCGGTACATGCCCTGGTCGTGCGGCAATTGCTTGAAGCCGATGCGAATGAGGCGAGCGTGTAGGTATTGTTGCCATAGTCGCGGAGCTTGCTTGATGCCGTAGAGTGACTTGAGTAGTTGACAGACGTGGTTCGAGTCCGTGCTGGAGCCGTGTGGTAGCTCGACGAAGATCTCTGCGTCAACGGGTGCGTAGAGAAATGCGTTAGCGACGTCGATTTGCCGCAGCTTCTTCTTCTTCATGGCGGCGATCGCGAGAAGGATGCGTAGCGAGGTGTGTCGGCTGACCGGAGCGAATGTTTCGGTGAAATCGCGTCCGTGCTCTTGGTCGAAGCCGCGTACGACCCAGCGTGCCTTAAATTTGCCGATGGTGCCGTCAGCCTTTGTCTTCACACGGAAGACCCACTTCCCGGTGAGCACTGTCTTGTTCCGTGCCACGCCGATAGGAACCACTTTCCACGTGTTGCGTTCCTCCAGTGCCTTCAGTTCCTTGTCCATGGCTTCGCGCCATTTTTCCCTATGTTCCCCCCCCAGAGCCTGCTGAACCGTCGCAGACTCTTTAGGAGTGGCGGTGCCGTGGACTGCGGTGACGAGTCCGAGAATCTGTAGTCCACTCTGTGAGTAGCGGGGAAGATTTACGTCCTCGGGATAAGCTGCTTCATCTCCCGCTTCTGGATCAGGTATGAAGTTCGGTCCTACTCGTTCGGCTTCGTTGGTGTTGACTGTCGCAGGTGTTACGTAACCGTTGTCGGCGAAATGGTAGAAGGTTTCGGCGTTGGCACTTTCGCGAGGGTTGTCTTCGTCCATGGGAACGTCGACGGAGCAGAACGGAAGAGGTCCGGCTTCTTCTGATGCGTTGTCCACATTCTGCTCGTCCCAGTCGGCTTCGTCCGCTGCTGAGGCGAAGGCTCGGTCACCACGAAAACCACCTGTGGGATCCTGGTCTTCGTGCAGGTTGGCAAGGTATGTCTGGAGCGTGAGTCGTTCGTAGAAAATTACATCACGTGCTGCTACTGTTTCCTTGGAGTGGACGTCGAAGATTTTCCACGCGTTGTAGTTCTTTTCGATTCCCAGGTGTATTCCCCACTGTGCTCGTTGAGAAAATCGGCCCGCTCGTGTTGCTGGGGGTCGGTACTGTACCATGCATCCGAATACTCGTAACATTTTTGTGCTGCCCTGTTTCCCTGTCCATAGCAGATGCGGTGATGCGTTGTTCGGAAGCGATGATGACGACAGCAAGTTGTGCAGCATGACGGCGTGGTCCATTGCTGCAGGCCACTGGTGGTTGGGTAGCCGCATGCCACGTAACAGTTTGCGCATGCTGTTCTGCAAGGTCCTGTTCATTCTTTCTGCTACACCCTGCTGCTGATGGGCGTAGGGAAGGGAGATGAGTCGCTTGATTCCCCTTTCCGCCAGGTACTGCTTGAATCGCTGAGAGGTGTATTCTCCTCCTCCGTCTGACTGGAAGCTTTTCAGCTTCACGCCTGATTCTCTCTCTGCTACTGGTAGCCAGGCAACGAAGGCTGCGAATGCCATGTCGCGGCTAGGGAGGTTTAGGTGCCAGACGTAACGGGTGGCGGCGTCGATGAAGGTGATTGTATAGTTGTATATTACTTGTCCTGGTTCCCGATTGTACAGGATGTCGCTATACACCTTCTCGAGTGGTGCGTACGCGGGTGCGCTCGGGTTGTGATGAGACGCAAACGGTCGATGTGGTAAGTCACCCTCAGGGCAGGTGAGGCACGTTCCGCGTACTCGTTGAAGTTCTCGTCCGTCGGTCAGTAGAAGTGAGTCCTTGTCGAGTACTCCTGCTCTTATCGTATTGTTTAATACTGTGTTGCTTGGGTGTCCCATCCTTGCGTGCCAGGTGCTTTCGTCGGCGCGATGTCCGGGTGATCGTCGGTACATATCTGAGTTGGAGTAGAAGTTGGCGGTGAAGTTGGCGCTACGATGAACTTCTCGTGGTGCTGGGTGTAATTGTTGCGCGGGTGTCGGTGGTGTGTCGTCGATGAGGAGCGGTGTCGTTGAAGGACCAGCAATTGGTGTTGACGTTCTTGCTGCTGCCGTTGATGGTTCTGCTACTGCCGATGTTGTCTCTGCTGCTGCCGATGTTGTCTCTGCTGCTGCCGACGTTGTCTCTGCTGCTGCCGATGTTGTCTCTGCTGCTGCCGACGTTGTCTCTGCTGCTGCCGACGTTGTCTCTGCTGCTGCCGATGTTGTCTCTGCTGCTGCCGATGTTGTCTCTGCTGCTGCTGTTGTCTGAATTGTTGCTAACGCCCTTGTTCTTTCTGCTTCAGGGATGGTGTGTGAATACCAGAAGCCTTCTGGACTGAAGTCTGGATCAAGGTCTGGAGGGTGTGTCCAGTCCGTGAAGTTAACGATGGCGTCGCTGTCGGCGGTGCCAAGGTCAGGAACGAAGTCAAGAACGAAGACGTTGTTCTTGAGGACTGCCTTGCCGATGTAGAGTCCTCCTCTCCCGTGATACAGCTTGAATTCTTGGGTGGTGCTGTCTGCTTCGAGGTGAATCCCCTTTGCCATTAGCTGACTGACGCTCAGTAAGTTGTAGCCGAGTCCCTCCGCGATTAGTACTTTTGACATCTGCAGTACAACGTTTGTTTCCCTTGACTGAAGTTGAACTACACCTTGTCGTCGTGTTCGCAGGTTCTGATTGTTGGCGACTGTAATGACTCGCGTTGAAGTTGGTGTTCTCGTTGAACGAAGCGTCCCGAGGAGCACATGTGCTGTCCGCAGCAACTGTCCAAGAACCATGTGTCCCTTCCGGATGGTTCGCTTTGGGCGATGGCGGCGTATGTCGGGTTCGGCTGAAGTGACTCGCGGCGGGGTGTGGTTTCGTCGAGTTGCTCTTCCGGTGAGTAGTGTGGCGGTGACTCGGTGATGCAGGAGTCACTCAGCTTTGCCATGCAGTTGACGATGTTTCTTGCTCCTTGTGCAGGTTGTCCTGTTGAGGTCGTTGAAGCTTGAATCTGAGTCGTGGGATTTGCTTGCGTTGAGGCGATTTGGCTGCTTGAAGGTCGAAGTTGCCGCTGTGGAGTTGTTGACTGTTGACGATTCGGGCAGTGCGTGCGCGGGTGTCCTGAAGTTTTGCAGATGTGGCAGAACGGAGGTACTAGCTTCGGTTGTTGCTGCCGGTTGTTGTTGTTGTTGTAGCGTCGCTGAGTGTGGAACGCGAATTCCGGTGCTGATGTTTTCTTTTTGTGTCGTTCTTCTTGCAGGTCCATGTCTTGCTGCTCGGCGTGGATTTCGGCGCAGAGCGCTGCTTCGGAGATTCTTCCGTGAGCTCGGAGAATGGCCTTTGTGGCGCGCCATTGAGAACCGAGGCCGCCGATGATGACTGTCACGAAG